AAAAAAAAAAAAACGAACTTCCCCCCTTTTTTTTTTCAGAGGCCCCGCGCGGCCTCAAATTTTTGTTAATATTTTTTTGTGGTTTATGGCGCGACATCCCACTCGGGTCTAAAACACCCCTCCCCAACTTTTTTTTTTCCTCGACCCCTGATTTTTGGGGTGCGCCGCACCCCGTGCGCTGTGCGCAGTGCGGCGCGTGTGCGCGGTGCATCGCACGTCGATGCGCCGCAAGTATGACATAGACACATGAAGCACGGCTTTCAAGCGCAGCGCAAACCCTGTATCAGCCCCAATTCGTCAACTGCATACATTGGAGGAAAGCGTGAATCCTCGTTTTTTGTTCTTCCCTTTTCTCTTTCTTTCTTTATTATCTTGCAAACGTACAGCCCGTAAGTCACGGGAAGCATAGTTGTCTTCAGTGTCAGGCACACTCATCATTTCCATACCAGATGCGGGCTCATAGTTTCTGTATCTGAGCGGAGTTGTCTTCCGTATACATCCAGTAGTACAAGGAGCTGTTAAAACGCTCATGGGAGCACGGCTTATGGGAGCACGGCTTATGGGAGCACGGCTTTCAAGCGCAGCACGGACCCCCGTATTGGACCCAAGTCGTCAAGTGTATACATTGGAGGAAAGAGTGAGTCTTTTTTTTTTTTTTCCCCTGCAAACATAGAGCCCGTGTGTCATTGGGAGCACAGTTGTCTTCAGTGTCAGGCACGCTCCTCATTTCGATAGCAGATGCAGGCTCATCATATCTGTATCTGACTGGAATTGTCTTGCGTATAGATTCCAGTAGTACAAGGAGCCATTAAGACGCTCACAGGAAAGAAAGTTTTCGACAGCAGCACGAGTTTTCCAAACAGAAGGAAGGGGAGAGGATGGGAGTATCACACCGCACAGGGAGAGAAACACAGCGGAAGACTTGACCATGCGATATGACAGAGAACACTGGAAGTGCAATTCGCTCCACAGAATCCTCACAACCAGTCACAAAAGCTAAGATGAAGCGCAGGGAGGAGGCCGATCAGAAAGAAGCTAGGAGGAAACTCTTCATAACATTATACTAGATTGGAGATTAGATTAGACTAGATTAGATTAGATTAAGATAAGATTAAGATTGGGATTAGAGTAGGTTTGGATCAGAATCATGAAATGAATTACAGTAGATTAGACTCATTAGAGGTATCAGATTGGATTTAGATTTAGATAAGATTAGATTTTCGATTAACATTGGGCAAAAAATCAATAAGAATCATTTTAGGCATGGTAACAGGCCGGACGTCCGGACCGGGTTCCAGACAGTCCGGTGTCCGGTGTCCGGTCCCCATGTCTGGATGGAGGCCCCTGGGGCAAAAAAAAAAAAAAAAAACGGGGCGGCCCAGGACGTTTGTCGGGTCCTAGCCGCCCCTCGGAAAATAACGGGGTGATTTTTGAGTGTCCTTTCACCCCACCGGCAATGGCCTAGAGGTCCAGACACAAGACACTGCAGGTTTTTGAGGTGGCGGGTTTCGCACAGGCCCGAGCAATTTCAAAGCGGCTGTTTCGACGTGGCGCCCGCCGCTCCTGCCCATTAGGGAGAGAGAGAGAGAGAGAGAGAGAGAGA